CTTCCACTACCTCCAAGTAATAACAAAGATGATACACTCCATAATACAATGCATTTAGATGGTGATAATGGAATTTTTTGTAACTCCTCCATTAGTAGGAGATTAACCTTTATAACCTCCCATTTAGTAGGTGTTTCTTTCTTGTAACTCTTATCACCTATTGGCCCTTATATATAGGGCTAGTATTATTGTAAATGTATAGAGAACAAATGAAGAATAAGTAGAGAAGAAAATAATAGAAATATAATATATCTTTATATTACCTTACTTTGTCTCTTTAATTTTTCTTTTTCTTCTTCTTCTTCTAATTGATTCTTTCTTTATTTTAGGTTAAACTCCCATTTCGATTCCTCAACTATTATATGGACCCCTCGATTTAGTCTCTCAATTCAAAAAATCATTGATTTGGTTCCTACTGTTTGTCATTTTGATCCCAACTTGATCCTTTTGTTAAATTTTTGTTGATGTGACATATTAGCTAACAACAAGAGCATGTCTTTTTAATAAATAAAATATGTGGAATTTATAATGTGGCAAAATACATGATTTGGTGAAAAAATTTATTTAAGTAATCCCTAAACATAATAAAATGACCATATTACCCTCATCTTCAAACGCTAAATCCTTTAATGTTCTCTCTCCCTTCCTAACACTAGATCTGGGTTTAGTGAACCCCATTTCTCTCTCACTTTTTCCCTTCCTCTTTTCTCTTCCTTTCCTTTACCTTCTACAAACCCAATAACTGCTAGGGTCGATGGAACCCAGCAGGTGCTGGGTTTTTTTGTGAGTTTGAAAAGTGGTGATGAAAGTGGACTCGAAGGAAAAATATTGATGAATTGATTATTTGATTTGGGTTCAATTTCGAACCCAACAACCGTTGGGTCGATTGAACATGGGTTGATGGAACCCAACAAGTGCTAGGTTTTTTATGAGTTTGAAAAGTAGTGATGAAAGTGGACTCGGAGGAAAAATATTGATGAATTGATTATTTGATTTGGGTTCGATTTCGAACCCAATAGCCATTGGGTCAATTGAACATGGGTTGATGGAACCCAACAAGTGCTAGGTTTTTTTATGAGTTTGAAAAGTGGTGATGAAAGTGGACTTGGAGGAAAAATATTGATGAATTGATTCAAAAAAATGGTGATGAAAGTGTAATCGGAAGAGGCAAAGAGAGAGAAAGCGAAGAATGAATGAAGAAGATTTGAGAAAGAGGATGTTAGAGGAAGAAGATGAGGGTAAAATTATAATTTTAAATAAATTAAATAATTATATTTTGACACATCATTTATTTATCTATGCTGTTAGGCTGACATGTCACAATATTTTGACATGTCATCGAGCTCCT